CCACAGATTAAGGAACTCTCTAGGTTTCAATAAAAATACATTATACAAATGCTGGAGAGGCTGTAGAGAAAAGGGAACCCTCCTACACTGTTGGTGGGAATTTAAGTTTGTGCAGCCATTATGGAAAACAGTAGAGAGGTTCCTCAGAAAACTAAAAATGGAATTACCACATGATCCAGCAATCCCAACTGGGCATATATCCAGACAAAACTCTAATTGAAAAGATGCATACAACCCAGTGTTCGCAGTGACACTATTCACAATATCAAAGATATGGAGACAACCTACATGTCCATCAACAGACAAATGGATAAAGAAGATACAGTACACAAATAAAATGAACACTACTCAGCCATAAAAAAGAACAAAATAATGTCATTTGCAGCAACATGGATGCAATGAGATTATCATTCTAAGTGAAGTAAATCAGAAAAAGACAAATACCATATGATATCACTCATATATGAAACCTAAAATATGACACAAATGAACCAATCTACGGAAGAGAAACAGATTCACAGGCATAAAGAGCAGACTTGTGGCTACTGAGGATGAGGGAGATGGGGGAGGGATGGACTGGGAACTTGGTGTTGAAAGATGCAAACTACTACACTTAGGATGGATAAACGAGGTCCTATTGTATAGCTCATGGAACTCTATTCAATATCCTGAGATAAATCATAATGGTGATGCATATAAAAAAGAATTTGTGTGGGTATGTATATGTGTGTGTGTGTATATATATAACCAAGTCTCTTTGGTGTACAGAATTAACACAGCATTATAAATCAAGTGTATTTCAATTAAAAAAAACATGTTATATTATAGAACAATTACCAGGAATTTTATCTTCATGTATATGAATATGCTTAAAATAGATATTTTTACCATGTGCCATAGAGCATTAAAATGAGTGCTTTTAAGAAAGAGAAGAGAAGGTATCAGCCCTGCTGTTCACAAGTGAGGAGTGAAAGGAAAGGAACCCTGTGCATGTCCACTTTCTTTATGGGATCTGCCCGCTGAAGGAGTAAATGGATGAGGAGCACAGACTCTGGAATCAGAAGATGAGGGCTTCAATCTCAGTTCTGCCATTACTTGTTGAGCAGTGCTGGGCACACAGTTGCTTAGTATCTTTGAGCTTCAGTTTTGAGATAAATGGAGGTAAGGCCTGCCTCTCCAAAAAGAGTGAAGTTACAGTGTGGTGTTACTGTTGAATGAGCATAGGATTATAAATCAATGAATCTTTTCCTTCTGATCTCAGTTCAGCCATTCACTTGGATAACTTGCCTAACTCCTTCAAGCTTTAGTTTTATCCACTATGAGCAAAACTCACTTGTCCTTCCAATCTCATAGGTTAATTTTGAGGATGTAATTCAGGTCAGGCAAAAAAGAAATTTATAAATGAAAGCAAACATTTCAATGCAAATCCACCATCATATCAACGTATAATTTTGCTACAGTTTTTTTGTCCAGATTAAATATCATTTCAGACCAATCTTAAAGGATCATGTTTCCTTACTTGCTCAAAGAGGCAAAGGCAACAGGTTTCTTTATTCATCACTCAACAGACCCTGCAGTTGCATGTCCCCCTCCACGTCATAGAGCTCTGTTTGGGTGCTGTTGACTGTGCCCATCCTTGGCGCCTGCCAGTCAGGACAATCCCATCCTCTACCATGGTGATGGTGACTGCTTCTGGGATGCTCTCTAGAGGCTGCACTTAGCAACGAAGGCTTTGTTTCAAAAATTGCAAAGAGAGTCACTCTTCCCACCTAGATGTGAAGTAAACCTGGCAGCTGCCTACAGCCATCTTGATTATCACCAGAGGAGAGAGACACCAGGGCTGAGAAAAGTCACAAAGAGCCGTTGCTCTGCTGAAATCAGGATCCTCTGGACTGAATTGTGTCCAGAGCTAGTGCACTTCTGGGCTTGTTGGCCGAGACAATACATTTTCTTGATTGAGTTTGAGTTGGTTTTTCTGTTCTTGCAAGTAAAATAATCTTAAGAAATATACCATGTGACCTTGAGCAAGTTTCATTAACCCCCTGAACATCAGTTTCCTGATCTATAATAGGGGATAATATAATATCCATCATATACAGGGCTACAGGGAAGTTCAATAGTGCTTAAAAAATGCTTAGCACAGTTCTTAGTACAAAGTAAGAATTCAATAAATTGTGGCTATTTTTATTGTTTGGAGCTCTAGACATTGTGCTAAATGCTTTCAGTACATCATTTCCCTTAATCATCATGTTAACCTATAAAGTAGGATTTATTATCTCCATTTATAAATGAAGAAATGAGGGTTAGAGGGTTTAGGGGACTTTCCAGGGTCCCATGGCTATCAAAAGGCAGAGATTTCACCAAGTATGATTGCTTTCCTTTTTTTCTAATCTTTTGACCGATGATATTGTACATTATCAGCAAAATGCAAATGTGCTAAAAATGATTAGATATTAAGAGATACAGCAGTAAATATACATGTTTTCTTTGAGCTTAGTTTTAGAGGATATAGTATTAAAACTATTCGGATTATAAAAGAAATTAGATTGAATTTGTGCCCTGGATTAACCAGCATCATGTTCCAGCCAACAGCATCTAAATCCTCCAAGCACATAAAAAGCACTCTGAGTAAGTTATGCACCTAAATGCAGGACATAGAGAGGTTGTTTCCACATACAACTTAAAGCATGTGTACACATACTATGTTCCAACTGCTATTTAATTTCTCCTAAAACCCCGAGCTGAAATGTAACATTTCTTTTACATTTCTTGATTCTAGTTTTTAAAAAATACTTTTCATGTACACTATAAAATTATCTCTATATTTTCTCTGCTCTTTCTGACAAGATGTCAACTTGTATACATTTTCTAGGAAGTCTGAACAATACAATTAGATGTGAGAATAGAAGAAAAAATAAACAGACTAGGGTCTCCACTACATAATTTTCTTAGGATATTTACAGGGAAATCTAAAAGTGTGTTTTACTGTTGACCTGTTGGGGACCTTCTCCAGATGTCCTTACATGGCATGGAGTGACAGAACTCCAATCACTAAGGGCGGAAAGAACAACCAAATGGAGAATGGTTAATGCAAACCTCTGCCTTACAAGTCTTGTGGGCAGATGAGGAAATTCCCTCCAAGCAATACATAGAAAGCCTCGAAAAACATAAATACACTCTGGACTTGTCTTCTTAACAACTAGGTCAATACTTTGTCAAAGACAATGTAATTGCATCCAGACACATCCCCAGTGAGAAGTAACAGTTTCACAGGCAGGGCGAGAGGTTTCACTGCTGTCCTGCCTCATTCCAGGTTTTTCACATGAAGCCTGATAGAAATGTCGGAGAGGAAGACCTGGAAAACAGCCTTATAGGTGACACAGTGATCCTTGATTTTAAACTTAGACGGTTTTTCACCTATATCAAAGTCATACACGAGGAAGCTGACAAACAACTGAGAAGAGTTTGTTCCTTTTGATAGTTTTTAGAAAGCTGAGGGTGTGGAAGTGGACATACTAGCCAGGCAGGTCTAGCTTTGCTCCTTCTAGGTGAGAGACACTGAGTGTATCACTGAACCTCTGCAAGCCTGTTTCTCATCATACAATGAAAATACAGGCATGCCTCATTTCACTGCGCTTCACTTTATTGCACTTTGCAGGTATCATGTCTTTTACAAATTGAAGGTTTGTGACAAGACTGTGTCACATTGTCCCAACAGCATTATTTTTTTAATTAAGGTGTGTATATTGTTTTTTACACATGATGCTATTGCACATGTAATAGACTACAGTACAGTATAAACATAAGCTTTATATGCACTGGGAAGCCAAAAAATTGCAACTCATTTGACTGTGATATTCACTTTCTTGTGGTGGTCTGGAACCGGTCCTGTAGTATCTCTGGGGTATGCCTGTAACAACACCTAGTTCACAGGGTTGTGTGATGAATGGGCACAGGTAAAAGGTAGATTTCCCCTTTCATTTTTTGTTAAACTATTTATTTGATTTAATGTGTTATAAGAAACATATCCTTCTTAATATAACTTCAACATCACTAGACTTCACCAGTTTGGGAGTACAAATAACACAAAAATAATAACACATTTTTAAAACCTATTTCTACATGTAGCAAATACAGTAATTTCTGGGTATCACTAGGGATGTGTCTTGTGCTTCTTTCATCTTCACCCAGATCTTTTTCGATGTCTGCTACCGAGAAAGATCAACTTGGGGACTACAGCTCGCCCATGCCTGCGTCTCCGTGATACCTCACTGAGAACAGGTTGGCTGTGTTCTCTGAGAACCCCCGAGGTACTGAGACTACAATACCATCAACAAGTCCAGATGACACAACTTCTGCTACGGCTTCAGTGCACCAGAAGCATACCATGTCTGCAGAGGGTCCTTCTCCTCATTTTCTCACTTGACCACTTGGACCACAAACAGCACTGCTTGTGTCTGCCTACGGAAAGAGCTTCTTCAGCTTCTTCTTAATCACTCATGGCCCACAGATGAGGATCAGGAAACTCTCTAGTCAAAGGTGCCCTATTCCACACAATTGCAGTCCTAATGCAAACCAATTTCTGCATATTTCAGACTATCAGTTTCCTAGTTCATTGATAACCACCCAAACTCTTAAATTCAGTTTGGGCTCAGCTTGAACCCTCTAGATGATAACAATTACTTCACGTTCTGATATTCTGATTTTTCATCCTCTAGAGGTTTTCCCCCAAAATCAAAAGTATAAGACAGAGTAAAATATGTAATATAAATTTATTCTGTGGCATTTTCCTCATTGAAGGTATTTTTAAATTGATTAAATACATCAATATTTCATGAAAAATAAATACCTAGTATAGGAATTTAGATAATACCTGTAATATACATGATTTGACCCTGAGTATCCATTTTTTTCCTTTCAAACATCATTTTAAAAAAATAACATGAAAATGATAAGGACTGCTGCATTCTTCATGTATCCTGTGTCTCATAAATTTTAATTCAGCTGCCAGTTCTTTTGTCCACTATACATGTTAATGGTATTTGCTTCTGGTTTTGGATGGGAAGAGTATCCATTTTCTGTTTAACCGTGATATTTAGGTCTTCTTTCTCTGCTTCAAGAAAATTCTTCATGCTGAGTTTGAATAGTAATCGAGGGTCTGGTCCAGAAAGTGGTGGGCAATTACAGGTCTCTCTAATTTTGAGAGCCTATAAAGAAAGAATACAATACAAAATATATATACACATAAAAATTTATTAAAACAGTGAAAAATAAGAATACATTCTGTATTTCTGCAATAAAGGGATCTTAAATACAACATGCAAAAGTGAATATATGTAAATTCATAGTAAATAGTCATATTTACATGATTTATTCAAAAAGAAGGTATTTGCAAAGAACAACTATATCTGCAATGACTGCCCACTGTCCTGTTGGTGATAAACAAGGCTTCTTGAAGGTATCTCTACGATTTGTCAAAGTCGAGCCAATCCTGAGAATAATATTCAGATCAAAAAGATCTTAAGACTCAGATTTTTTTCAAGAGGAAAAAAGAAAAAAACAAAAATAGATGTGAACACAATGAAAGAAGATATACATAAGTGGGACAGTCTGGGGTGGAAATGATGCTAATAACCTAGACAAGTAAGTAAATCAAAATCATGACAACTTTTAACTCCAGGGAAAATAAAATGCTGCAGGGAAAAGAAAAGTAAACATAGGATACCACATGGCTCAGCTGTGATTAGTGTTTACAGGGTTTAAAAAACCTATCTTTATCTAACCAAAAGGGGGAAGAGCTGTATTCATGCCTGTGAATGCACAGTCAGGGGGAGCTTAATTCTCATCCTCCATGGGGAGAAACGAACATCTAATACCCAACACCGGAAAGTTAGGAAGTAGCCATATAAGCATGTTTCAGTGGTACTGAAAGAACCACTTTATAGAGTTGTAGTTACCCTTGAAACTGGAAGCAGGATAGGGAGACTGCTGCTTCACATACTAGCCTCAGAGAACTATGGGCTTCTTTAAAGCGGGTACACGGATGACCTTAAAACATGAAAACTAAAACAGAAATTTTTTAAGAGAAGAAAGTCTTGATTCTTAAGGGATTTTGAAAGAAACACATCTGAGGGGAAAAATTAGTTCAGTCTTTTACCGCTTCTAAATTTTGGATAATGATGCACATTAAGGGAAGAGAAGCAGGGAAGGGGATTTGAGAATCCCTTAGAAGAATCCCTTAGAAGCAACAATCCCTTAGAGGAAACGGACTAGGCCTCATAGTCAATGAAAGAGTTCAAAATGCAGTACTTGCGTGCAATCTCAAAAATGACAGAATGGTCTCTGTTCATTTCCAAGGCAAACCATTCAATATCACAGTAATCCAAGTCTATGCCCCAACCAGTAATGCTGAAGAAGCTGAACAGTTCAAAGAAGACCTAACAGACCTAAAAATAACACCCCAAAAATATGTCCTTTTCATTATAGGGGACTGGAATAAGAAACTAGGAAGTCAAGAAACACCTGGAGTAACAGGCAGATTTGGCCTTGGCGTACAGAATGAAGCAGGGCAAAGGCTAACAGAGTTTTGCCAAGAGAAAGCACTGGTCATAGCAAACACCCTCTTCCAACAACACAAGAGAAGACTCTACACATGAACATTACAAGATGGTCAATAATGAAATCAGATTGATTATATTCTTTGCAGCCAAAGATGGAGAAGCTCTCTACAGTCAGCAAAAACAAGATTGGGAGCTGACTGTGCCTCAGAACTCCTTATTGGAAAATTCAGACTTAAATTGAAGAAAGTAGGGAAAACCACTGGACCATGCAGGTATGACCTAAATCAAATCACTTCCGATTATACAGTGGAAGTGACAAACAGATTTAAGGGATTAGATCTGATAGACAGAGTGCCTGAAGAACTATGGACAGATGTTCATGACATTGTACAGGAGGCAGTGATCAAGATCATTCCCAAGAAAAAGAAATACAAAAAGGCAAAATGGTTGTCTAAGGAGGCCTTACAAATAGCTGAGAAAAGGAGAGAAGCTAAAGGCAAAGGAGAAAAGGAAAGATATACCCATTTGAATGCAGAGTTCTGAAGAACAGCAAGGACAGATAAGAAAGCCTTCCTCACTGATCAATGCAAAGAAACAGAGGAAAACAACAGAATGGGAAAGACTAGAGATCTCTTCAAGAAAATAAGAGACACCAAGGGAACATTTCATACAAAGATGGGCACAATAAAGGACAGAAATGGTATGGACCTAACAGAAGCAGAAGATATTAACAAGAGGGGGCAAGAATACACAGAAGAACTATACAAAAAAGATCTTCATGACCCAGATAACTACGATGGTGTGATCACTTACCTAGAGCCAGACATCCTGGAATGCGAAGTCAAATGGGCCTTAGGAAGCATCAGTACGAACAAAACTAGTGGAGGTGATGGAATTCCAGTTGAGCTATTTCAAATCCTAAAAGATGATGCTGTGAAAGTGCTGCACTCAATATGCCAGCAAATCTGGAAAACTCAGCAGTGGCCACAGGACTGGAAAAGGTCAGTTTTCATTCCAATCCCAAAGAAAGGCAATGCCAAAGAATGCTCAAACTACCGCACAGCTGCACTCATCTCACATGCTAGTAAAGTAAAGCTCAAAATTCTCCAAGTCAGGCTACAATAGTACGTGAACTGTGAACTTCCAGTTCAAGCTGGATTTAGAAAAGGCAGAGGAACCAGAGTTTAAGTTGCCAACATCTGTTGGATCATAGAAAAAGCAAGACAGTTCCAGAAAACCTTCTACTTCTGTTTTATTGACTGCAACAAAGCCTTTGACTGTGTAAGTCACAATAAACTGAAAAATTCTGAAAAGAGATGGGAATACCAGACCACCTTACCTATCTCCTGAGAAATCTGTATGCAGGTCAAGAAGCAACAGTTAGAACTCAATATGGAACAACAGACTGGTTCTAAATCGGGAAAGGAGTTCCTCAAGGCTATATATTGTCACCCTGCTTATTTAACTTATATGCAGAGTACATCATGAGAAACGCTGGGCTGAAGGAAGCACAAGCTGGAATCAAGACTGCTGGGAGAAATATCAATTACCTCAGATATGCAGATGACGCCACTCTTATGGCAGAAAGTGAACAAGAACTAAAGAGCCTCTTGATGAAAGTGAAAGAGAGAGTGAAAAAGCTGGCTTAAAACTCATCATTCAGAAAACTAAGACCATGGCATCCAGTCCCATCACTTCATGATGGCAAATAGATGGGGAAACAATGGAAATAGTGACAGACTTTATTTTGGGGGGCTCCAAGATCACTGCAGATGGTGACGGCAGCCATGAAATTAAAAGATGCATGCTCCTTGGAAGAAAAGTTACAACCAACCTAGACAGCATATTAAAAAGCAGAGATATCACTTTGCCCACAAAGGTCCGTCTGGTCAAGGCTATGGTTTTTCCAGTCATGTATGGATGTGAGAGTAGACTATAAAAAAAAAGCTGAGTGCCGAAGAATTGATGATTTTGAACTGTGGTGTTGAAGACTCTTGAGAGTCCTTTGGACTACAAGGAGATCCTAAAGGAAATCAGTCCTGAATGTTCATTGGAAGAACTGATGCCAAGCTGAAACTCCAATACTTTGGCCACCTGATGCAAAGATCTGACTCACTGGAAAAAACTCTGATGCTGGGAAAGGGTGAAGGCAGGAGGAGAAGGGGACGACAGAAGATGAGATGGCTGGATGGCATCACTGACTCGATGGACATGAGTTTGAGTAAACTCCAGGAGTTGGTGATGGACAGGGAGGCCTGGCGTTCTGCAGTCCATGGGGTTGCAAAGAGTCAGACACGACTGAGTGACTGAACGGAACATTTCACTAGGTCTCACTGATAAAATAATGACCAGAAGGGGTGGAGGGAAGACCTAAAGGACAGGACCTGAGGGAAGGAGTAATTCGGGTATCCAGAAGAAGATAATTCCAAAATGCGGCAGTGAGAGACAGAACCTGAGATGAGGAAGCCAGGCCAGCTGCAGCAGAGTGGGTATGTGGTAGGCGCAGAGCGTGTGGGATCTCACGGGTCAGGGAAGGGATCTCGGTCTTACTCTGAGTGTGCCTGCTTCTGACATCTGTGGGGTCCATGCCAAGAGTGCAAACGGAGGCTCAGACACCATATATTTGAATATCTAAAATGACTACATAAAAAATGCTCTGTTCTACTTTGAGGAAAAGACGATCAAAATGACGCTGATGGCCAAACACAAAACTAGCATCCTCGAATCTCACCGTTAGGCTGCAGGGGGCCTACCCTGGCTGCTGCCACTGGCCGCTGTCCACTTCTCCCGTCACCGCCCACCTGGCACGAGGAGGGACCTTGTGTGCGCGTGTCCAAGGGAAGAGGTGCACGCAGGCCCTGGAAACAGGCTCCAAAGGATCTGGGTGAGGAATTCCATTATCCCAAATACCAGATTGCCTTGTGATGACAGCACAGGTTCTTAAAAGGAACTATTCCCTTAGGTCTCACAGGAGAGGAGGGCTTGCAACCAGAGGCAAGTCAGAAAAGGGTCTTTTTAAATGGCTGAGGCCAGGGCAAGGGCTTGGGTCTAGGACTCTGACTCTGAATGAGGCTGTGAGTTACCAAAATAAAGAGTAAAAAGCACTGAAGTGAAATTCTTTGGTGACAGAGGTCTTGTCTGAATTTTCTTTGTATCCCACAATACGGCAATGTAATATGTACTCAGTGTTAAGTAAATGTTTGTTAAACTGAACTGAAAAAAGAAAAACAACGTTTCCCAGCTACAGCACTAAAGTAAACAGAAATTCAGACCCTCAGTCAAATGGTGACCTACTGTCCAAACAAGGATACCTTTGAGAGTGAAGGGAAATGCTATTAAAGTAAGATTTACACCAAGACATCAGGCACAAACTGAGACTGTCCTGGCAAAACTGGGGCATACTACTCTTGCCTTAACTCCTTCACAACCAGGCTGATGTTCTTTCCCAAGTGAGAAGCCATTCTGTCACGGCTGCTACATCACACACCCAAGGCCTTCCCGGGTGTCAGTAAAGGCCCAAGTGTGGGGTGCAGCAGGTAACAGGTGGTACAGCCGAGTTTAACAATGAGAGGTGTGAAAAAGCAAACAAAGAGAAGAGAATACCATCTCCAGTAGTCTTTTATATTCAGTAAAAGCTCTTCTCTTTC